CTTATCTGTTTTGTATGAATTTTTACCCACTCAGTGGGTTCTAGGAAAGCGAAGACTATGTTAGCACACTCAGTGCCTAGCACTGTGTGAGGGGCACACATTGGATCTCAACAAAGGTTTCTTGAGTAAACGAATGTTTCCATATGACCACACTACAACCATGAGGGCAAAGGCTGTGCATTAATTTTTTGGTAACTCCAGGAGCACTTTTGCAGCATTTTATACAGATAGTGAATTCAATTTTAAATACTTCAACATTTTTCCTTTGATGACCGATATTTTAAAAACACAAAACAGCCAAGATTTCAATACTAGATACTGACGTTTACTGACTTTTTTTTAAACAATAATAACCATGACCAACTTTGGAAAGGTAAATGGAATATGTGTCCCTATTTAGGAATACTAAAATTAAACCAAAGTAACTATTTTGCCTACAGTTGAGACCAGCAGTTATACTGTTTTACTTCATGAGGCATACTTAGATTCCAACTATATTCTTTTTATAGCATATGATGTAAAGAGCTTTCAAAATAGAAGTACCATTTTCACTTAAATTACTAAATACAGAATAGGCTTAATACAAATATGTATGGACATATATGTTCTATATAAATATATTGCCTATTAACTTTAATTAAACTGTTAATTTTGTGATAATTGTACATTCATGTGCAGCTGTAAGATATAAAATGCAGAGTGATCCCATGTACCCCAGTTTCTCTCAATGGTAACTCCTGGTAAAACTATATTAAAAAATCATACCCAGGACAATGGTATCAATACAATCCACTCATTTATTAAGATGTTTCAGTTTTGCTTGTACTTGTGTGTGTGTACCTGTGTTTCTGTCACAGTTTTGTGTACCCACAGCCACAGTCAAGATTCACAACAGTCCATCACCACAAGGATCCCTCACTGTGGGATCAATGGCTGGTATAGCCATTCCCACTTCCCTCCTTAATTCTTTCCACCACTAACCTTTTATCTATTTCTATAATTTTTCCTTTTAAAAATATTACATAAATAATATTTCACTCAGCATAATTCCCTGAAGATTCATCCAAGTTGTTAAATGTATCAATAATTTATTTCTTTGTTATTATTGTTTTATTAAGTAAAGGTTCATAGACTACATTAAGGTTCCCTCTTTCCATTATAAATTCTCATAGATACAGAGTACAGATTAGTGGTTGCCAGAGGTGGGGGTGAGAGGAATGGGCTTGTAATACCGGTTCGGTGGTGATGAACTCCTTTAGCCTTTTCTTGTCTGGGAAGTTCTTTATTTCTCCTTCAGTTCTAAATGATAGCCTTGCTGGGTAAACTATTTTCAGTTGTAAGTTCTTGCTTTTTTTCCTTCTTTTTTTTTCCCTCCAGGTTCTTTAAATTTTTATTGTATTTTTTCCACTACCATTTAGTGTCCTGTAAAATGCCGAGAAACCCGATAAAGGCAAAGGTCATGGCAAGGGCTGCGACTTTTGCTGCCCTTGAGAGAAAAGCCATGCTGTCCCTTTTCCTCCACAGGACTTATTTTCCCCACAAGACAAAACAAGAAAAGTCAAATATAACTTTACGCTTAAAGGAACTTGAAAATTTACAACAAAAAAGCCCAAAATGAGTAGAAGGAAGGAAATAATACAGATCAGAGCAGAAATAAACAAAATAGAGTCTAAAAAACAATACAAAAGATCAATGAGTACAGGAGCTGGTTAACAAGATTGACAAACCTTTAAGCAGACTCATCAAGAAAAAGAGAAGACCTAAATAAATAAAATCAGAAATGAAAGAGTAGAAATAACAGCTGACACCAAAGAAATACAAAAGAGTGTTAAGAAAATATTATGAACAAGTATATGCCAACAAACTGGACAACCTGGATAAAATACATAAATTCATAGAAACATACAGTCTTCCAAAACTAAATCAGGAAGAATCAGAGAATCTGAATAGACAGATTACACCTAGTGAAACTGAAGCAGTGATCAAACCCCACACACTCCCATGTGCCCACCCCCCCCCCCGGACCCCCCACAACAAACAAAAACCCTGGACTGGATAGCTTCACAGGTGAATTTTACCAAACATTTTGGGAAGAAATAACACCTCTCCTTCTCAAAGTATTCCAAAAAATTCAAGAGGAGGGAAGGCTCCCAAGCTCATTTTTCATGAGGCCAGCATTATCCTAATTCCAAAACCAGATAAAGACACTACAAAAAAAGAAAATTATAGGTCAATATCCCTAATAAACATAGATGCTAAAATCCTCAACAAAATATTACCAAACCAAATACAGCAATGCATCAAAAAGTTCCTTGTACTTTTTCACTTTGGATATTTCATGCCAATACCTTCTGGGCTGAAATGTTTCTGTTGAGAAATCAGCTTTGTGTTATGGGAGCTCCCTTATAGATAACTAACCTTCTCTTGAGGATTTTATATTTTCTCTTTGTCTTTAACCTTGGCATTTTAATTATGATGTGTCTTTTCTTCACCAGGTGAGGGAAGTTTTTGGTCATTATTTCTTCAAATAGGTTCTCATTCCCTTGCTCTCACCCTTTTCCTTCTGGCATGCCTATGATGTGGATGTTGTTATCATTCATGTTGTCCCTAAAGGCCCTTAAACTGTTATAATTTTTTAAAATTCTTTTTTGCTGCTCTGATTGGATGCTTTTTGCTACCTTGTCTTTAAAATTGCTGACTGAATCCTTTGCTTCATTCAAACTATTGTTTATTCCTTCCAGTGTATTTATTCTTCATTTCAGATATGGTATTCTTCACTTCTGACAGGTTCTTTCTTATGGTTTCTATGTCATTTTTCATGCTGTTGAGCATCCTTTTAACTATTATTTTGAACTCTATATCTGATAAATTGCTTGTCCCTACTTCATTTAATTCTTTTTCTGGAGAGTTCTTCTGTTCTTTCATTAGGGACCTGTTTCTTTGTCTCCCCATTTTAGCTATATCTTTGTGTTTCTTTCTATGTAGTAGATAGATCTGCTATGGTTTCCAGTCCTTGTGGGGTGGCCTTATACAGTAGGTGCCCTGTGAGGTTCAGTGGTGCAGTCTCTTTAATCATCTGAGCTGGGTGCTTGAGGAATGTTCTTTGTATAGGTTATGTGAGCCCTCCTGTTGTAATTGACTCTTGATTGCTATTGGGCCACTCATGCATGGATCAACTCTCAGGCTCACTGACTGTGAGGCTCAACATTGACCATGATGTGCAAGCCACTATGCAGGTGTTGATCACATGAAGAATTCACTTTAGCAGGGTTTGGTGCCTGCTGAAATCTCCCTTTGGAAATGCTGCTTGTGAAGCTCCTTGGATCCTGCTCTGATGTTGTCTGAAGCTGGCCACTGAGAGTGTTGGCTCTGGGCCTCTTGGGAGGGACTCTGGTGTAGTGCAATGTCAAACACTGCCTGTGACTGCCTCTGGGAAACCTGTTTGGAAATTCCAGTGATCTACAGTTTGTGGTTTCCTCTGCTGGGTCTGGATGTGTTCAGAAATAACCAAGCTGTGCACCAAGGCTGGCTTTTACCGGGTCCAAGGGAGGATCAGCTAAAGTCTCAAAGCTCCCAGAGATCCACCTTCACCTGCAGGCTTTCTATTAGGCTTATTCAGTGTGTGAAACCACGCTTTCTAGTCTCAACTGTAATTAACAAACACTGGATTACAGAATTTTTTTGTATTATAGTGGGGTTTTCTTTTAGTAGTGATTGAAAATGTTTACCTTTTTGTAAACATAATTCTCCAGTTTCTTTAAGGACAATGTCTTCCATACAGTAAGTAATTTTTCCTTTCTCTTAATTATTATACAAGTTATTTAGAGTACCAACAATCGTCTTCTTTTTAAACTTTTTCCAAATAAATACTGTAAGCATAAAAGAGATGACATGTAAAAACATTCAATCAGCCCTGACTGGTATGGCTTAGTTGGTTGGATGTCATCCTGCAAAGTGAATCATTGCCAGTTCGATTCCTGGTCAGGGCACATGCTTGGGTTGTATGTTTGGTCCCTGGTGAGGTGTGTACAAGAGGCAACTGATTTATGTGATGTTTCTCACTCACATCAGTGTTTTTCTCCCTCTCTTTCTCCCTTTCTTCCTCTCTCTCAATAAATAAATAAATAAATTTTAAAAATTCAATTAACATAACAGAAGAATACATATAAAGGTGGTATAAAGAGTATAACTTATTTTCTTTATTATTTCTTATTTTCTTTACAAATGAAACAAATGGTTATTGATCTTTTTGGTAGAAGATTAATATATATTTTAATTGTTTTAGAGTATTTAATAAAAAGAATATTGAAATGTGTTTTCATGGTTCTGGTGTCTTCTGATATATGAAGATGTCTGGACAAAGTATGTGTATATGCATTGTTACCAATTAACATGTGTCTAATTTAGGCAGATAGTCAAACCAGCAGTGAGTAATGTTACACAAATGTTGGCAGGGTAACTAATTCCATTATTAGATAAGCTCTGAAGATTCTACTTATAGTTTGGTCTTGAAACAATCAGTGCCAATTGTGACCAAATGACTGTCACTGTTAATCCCAATAATAGCAGAGAAGGATTTGGGGAAAACATAAAGTTTTATTTTCTCTCTTTCGGATTCTCTTACTGCTGCTTGAACCCTAATTTGAGTACCTTCTTCAGAGAAAGGCCCCAATTAGAGGAGTAAAATGGCTTCATGTGGCCAGAGTAAAGTAGCACTTGTCCCATCCCACCGATCCTCTCTGCGCCCACACTCTGAGGATAGCCGCTGCTCTCTCCTGAGCCAACTCCAAAAGAGACTTTCCCAAGAATTGAATTTTAAGCAATTTTAGTTCCTATCACTAGTGAGAAAGTATCCTTTATATTACTAAATGATTCTGTTACCCAGCATTTGTTAATTATAATTGAGACTAGAAACATGCGAAGTTTCAGAGAAAACGATTGAAGGAAACATCTGAAAGTAATTGGCCCCCTACCCCCGCCTCTGTTGTTCTGCTACTCACGGCAAGTCTTCCAAACTGGAGGCTTCGTGTCTTGGATCCAATAGATCATAACCACATTCATTGTAGATTTCCAAATAAGAAATGTGTGTTGTATATATCTTGCTGCTGTCCTGATTTGGAAAAGGGAGAGACATTATTTAATAGCTATAAATAACAATTCAGCACAGAAGAGGATAAACACATTTATCATTTTAGTTTCCTCAGTTTCTCTCTTTTCCTCTCTCACTTTGTATGGCTTACATTTTTGACTTGTAACACTTTTAAGTTGCCAGCTACCATATGCCCAACACTTTTCCTTCCTCCCTTCTTCCCTCCTTTCCTTCCCTCCCTCCCTCCCTCCCTTCCTTCCTTCCTTCTTTCCTTCCTTCCTTCTTAACAGCCAATACCCATCATTATAAGCAACTTCAGTGTGTTACTTTGTATTGGTTCCATATTATATGTAAAAAGCCAATATACTTACAATGAGCTGACTTGGTTGCAAAAATGTATAACACCATTTTTTTTTACTTCCTAGACCAAAAAAATAGTTTACTAAGACAAAATAAACTTATATTCTGTGAAAAGTCTATTCATAAAAGAACAAAGAATTGTTTCTTTGGTTTAAAAATTTCAGTAGCACAAAAGTTTCCATCTTTAATCACATTTTTAAACTTTTCTAATATTTAAATTTTCTAATGACATAAATAGGAAATGGACAATAATTAGATAATGTAAAGTGAATTCCAAGGGACAGAAATGGTTTAGCTATATAGCTGATCGAGTATTCGTAAGCTCTGACGTCACCAGGTCACTGCCTATACCTTACCTGGTTAATTTTTCTGGCCCAAGTGGCAAACCAGGGGTATTCAGCTATTGATTAGACAGGTATTTTCTGTGAGTCACTGCTGAAGTGCAATGACATAGGTGTCAGTGAATTTAGGATAAAATGTCAAGGGAACTGGTTCTATGGTTCTGGTCTTAGTTCTGTCAACAGACAAAAAAAGCAACAAAAACAAACAAATAAAAAAACAACATTCTCCCTGGAGTGGAATAAAACGGAATTTTTTCAGCTCTTGAGGAAATCCCAAGTTCTGTTTTTAATACAAAATATCATACAGTAGTACTCCCTTCTTATTCCTCCCCAAATATTAAGCAGATATTATCCTGTTTTTCCTAAGAGGAGAACATATTTGTGTCTTGTGGCAAGAATTGGTCAGCAGGTTATCAGAGTGAATAATCACAGAGTGGATTTGCTTAAGATCAATTTCCTGTTAAATCACATCCATATCCAAGACAATCCATTTAACAGGTGTCATTCAAGGAGAGAGAGAACCAAACCACAGAGGTAGGGAGGAAGCAAACCCAAAGCTGGAATCCTAGCCCAACTAGCTATGAGCCCCTGCTATGTCAGGACTCAGTTTCCATATCCATTAAATTAAGGAAGCTGGACAATGAATTCCTACACATTCTTCAGGTTAAAATTAATATAGTTCTCTCATCCTGAAATGGCTCAAACTATTCAAATAAAGATACTACCATTTCATTAAATTAAAATAATACATGAAAAATTCAAGCAACTCTCAGCCAGCACATGACTATAGTAAAATGCTCAAGCTACAGCTCTAAAATTTCATGTTCTAGTGTTCTACTGTGGACTGAATCTCTACTAAACATATTTCTTCCAACTAACTGCTGGAAATTCTATCAATGTGGTTGTCTCTGGCTGCTTATCCTGAAAATGATCTATCAGCTAGTTAAATTAGTATCCCAGTTTAGTAAAGGCACCATTTCAACATAATTCTTTGGGTTGAAGTTTGGCTTAGTGCAGGTATCAGAGACCATACGTACTAGACAGACTTTGTGTGGCCTTCAGGCTAGTGCAGTGATTCCTAAAATACTCCATGAAATATTCATGGAAAAACTGACCCATGGTGAACACATACAAGTGAAGCAAAAGTAGGTTTACAGTTGTGAGTATGCAAAACAGTTTTATTCCTGTGCTATTATTTATTAATTATTGAATTATTTTCATGTGAACAACTGTAAACCTACTTTTGCCCTGCCCTGTATGCACTGTTCCTCTCTGGAAGATCCACAGAGCACATTAAAGGCCACAGCAACATCCCGAGATCCTGTTTAAAACAACATATTCCTAAAACTTATCTGAGCATATCTGAAATATTCCGTAGATTGTGGCTGGAGGTTTTGCAGTTTTAGCGTATACTTCTGAGCTCATCTTAGCATCAGATAAAAAACTGGATTTAAATTCTGGATCTGCCATCTGTCACTGAGTGATCCTGCATTCCTATCCTCAGTCTTTTAACCATGAAAATGGGGGATAATAACCTTTATCTTGTGGATCTATTGTGACAGAGAGATAGAACCTGTATTTAAAATCCTACCAAAAATGTGTGGTCTGTAATAGTCACCAATAAATTGTTACTGCTGTTATAATTATTCCTGTTGTTACTATTTTTATATGCTTAAAAGCCTTTAAATGGAGAATTCTGTGTGTGAATATAAAAAGAAAGGAAAAGACACAAAATGAATAGTCAACTTGTATGTCAACTTGTATGTCCACTTGCAGTGGAGAAACCCTCTTCTTCCAGAAGTTAGAAGAAGTCACAAAAACAGAAATGTCAGGCCCTGGCCCCAAGATGATAAGGATAATGCCTTTGGCTCCTCCGCTTCTGCATTTTCTAGGCTTTCATTGGAAGGAAATTCGCCGAGCTATGTGGCAAGCTACCTTTCCTTATTACTCTTTTTTTAGTGTTTAGGACTGCCAGACTGTAATGTAACACACATGTTCTCTGTAGACAGTCTTTTCTTCTGCCCCAAAACAAGTTTGAACCTCATAATACTCAAAAATAATGGGCAGTGATTTCTAAAATAAATGCACTCAATTTTCTTCTTTTAACATCACTGAAAATGTGCTCCTATCATACTCACAGGCATTTTGGGACCCAATATGTACTGGTTCTTGTTTATCTTGAAGTAAATACTTTGCATAAGTCAAATATTTTATTTAAGAATTCCACAGAGCACCATGTAGCTCTCTAAAGCAATCAGTTGGGGACAGCTGAGTACCTGTCTGCATTTTTTTGGCTCTACACTGTGGACAAACTTTATGACACACTTCAAGTTGCCTCTGCCTTGTTTTGCCATAGTTCAGTTTGATCACAATGAATGTCTTGTTCCCTATCATGGAAACTGTCTATTTACAAAGAGTTGTCCTGGCTGTAAATCAGTCTGATGGCCTCTCTCCAAACTCAGGATCATTAAGGATAAAATGGGGTTTAGAGTAATGTCAATGACAAACCCAGAAAACAATGAATCCAACACATGGTAGGTACTTGAGAGACATGTAGATTTTTAGCACTGTACTCTATATTTTGTACTATATTTTGGTAAATATAGACAAAAATTTTTTAAAAGACAAATATATTTTCTGTTAGGAAAGGATTTGTTTATTCTGTTTAACTTTATCAAGGGGATTGGCTTTGTTCTGAGTTTCAAAGGGTTCTTTGAAATTGGTCATGGATCTTTTCTCCATGTGCACAAACAGTACAGTAAGTCCTTACTTAACATTCCCAATGCGGTCAGTGGCTTTAAGAGAAACAATGTATATTTTACCATAGGCTAATTGATATAAACAAGAGTTAAGTTCCTACAGCATCTCATCAACATTTTAACAAGACTTGGGATTAAAGTATGTTATTCAAGGACCTGCTATACACAGCTATAGTAATAACTTTCATGTATTGAGCATCTACTATGTGCCAAGAACTGGACATCCTTAAATACAGTACACTCAAACTCTAAAACCTGAACCTTTAAGAGACTGTCCCAAGTCCCCATACTGTGAGCAGAAGCAGGTTGGCGTAAACCAACTTCAGTGACCTTTTCAAGACAACACATTTGCACATTAGGCCACAACAATGAAAGCCATTACAAACACGTCCCCAGTTTGTGAAATCTGAGGGGAATAAACAAAACAGCTAATGTCAGAAATAAATGAGTAAATGAAAAGAAGGAATTTGAATCCAACATATGTACTATACTCAACTCTCTGTTCCAAATTTTCTGGCATGCAGAGTTGGAATGTTTGAGTTAGTGAGAGATGAGCTGAACTAATGGGTAATTGCTACTTTATGGATGGAAATTAGAATTATGCAGATCTCAGCAATTTCTTCTTATTGTTGCAACTTAAAATGCAAACAGCATACAGTTGAGAAATTTTGGAATGACTGTTACACTGACCTAGTTAGGACGTTTGTCATATAGAATTTGTGCAACCAAGCAATTGTTGGAACTACTAGGGATGCTAGAGATCCTCTAGTCCTACTATTCAATCTCCACTTTCACAGAGGAGAGAATGGAAACCCAGAGAAATGGCTCATTGTAGAGAATCTGTTAAATACAACCAACAAAACAAATTCAGCCTGGGATATGGGGAAGTGTATAGAGTGATGAAAAGCACAGAGCTTGGTGTCACACCTACCTGGAATGGACCTCCAGATCAGCTACTTAGAAGAACCCAGAAAAAGATATTAATCTGCGACTTAGTTCCCCAAATATAAAATGGAAGTAAGGATTCCTATAATGTTAGTTGTATTATATGTTGTATTAAATACTGATGAAACAATAGACACTTGGAGCCATAATGCCTATTGTTTTATGATGCATAAAATATAGATAGGGAATTTGTCCTTATAGTAATATTAACTGCAATAGGATTTTTACTCTGGTAAATTCCTGTGGGTTTCTTTTTAAAGTGTGATGAAGGAACAATCACATTATCCTTTTCAGTGCTTTAGCAGCTAAAATAAATGTCTGTTTTGGCAAGAGGGCATTCTTTAGTTTCTTAATGGAGAATGTAAGATATGGAAAATGTGTTGTCTGTTCTTTTAACCTCCACGTGTATTCAGAAGGAACTCCCTTTGAGCCTTTGCTGAAACAGCATCCCCTTAATGAGAAGTACCTTCTTAATTTCTACTTCTTCAGCAAAATCCCAAACTTCCCTTAAATGTGAAGGCCAGAATTACTGCACAATAATCCTTTTTCATTTAGATACAATATAATGTCACCATAAATTTTTTGCTCACAGTAAATTTCTGCTGAATACATCAAATACAAAGTGAACTTGTACTTCCATACCTTTTGCAGTTGCTCAAAAATGTACGACAGTGTCCTTGGGATGATGCCTCTGTCCCTGTAGCGCTCTGCCCCACCCGTGATGGTGAATGTCTTACCGCTGCCTGTCTGCCCATATGCAAAGACGGTGCCATTGTAGCCTGCCAGGACACTACACAGAGAAATGGCACACTTTTAACATCCAAACAGATCATTGCATTTGTATTAAATGGCTTATATTAAAATAGCAACGTGACTCACTACTAATGAAAAGATATCTATAGAAAATTTTCTCTATGTGAGTATCTAGCCAGATTTACTTTTTATCCAGGAACATCAGCACATTCATTGGTCTTTTTCTCTAAGAAAGCACCTGCAAAAAAATGGGGACCAGACACCTTAAGTTTTTCCTTTCAAATAATTAGATTTTTAAATTTTAGAGTGGTTTTATATTTACAGAACTTTGCAAAGATAGTACAAAGAGCTTATGTACACCACACCTAGAGTTCCCTATTTTCCCCTATTGTACATTTGTCACAACTGATGAGCCGATATTGGTACATTATTACAAACTTTGTTAAAGTGTCCTTGGTTTTTATATAATGCCTTCTTCTTTTCAGCTTTACTAAGATATAATTGACATACAACATATGCAAGTTTAAAATGTACCATGTGATGATTTGATACATGTATATGTTGTAAAATGATGCCACAATAACATTCATTAGCATGTCTATTGCCTCACATAATTACCATATGTTTCGGACCATAAGATGCACCTAGGTTTTAGAGGAGAAAAATAGAAAATAAATTTTTGAAGCAAAAAATGTGGTAATGTATTTAATAACATAAATAACATAATATTTCACCAATGTAAATGTAAACAGAACTCAACAGCAGCATTAACAACCATTATTCCCATACAATATAATGTAGAAATATTTAGTGGACCCTTGACTAAATGTGGACATATGTATACACCTAAGCAATCCGAACCCCTGTCAAGTTGTACAACATGAACATCACTCCAAAAAATTTCCTCAAGCCACATTCCAGTCAATCCTCCACATCATTTTCCCAGAGACAAACACTATTATGACTGCTTCTCCCTCAATATAGATTAGTTTCATTGCTCTAAAACGTCATACACATGAAATCATAGAGTACGTACTCTTTTGTGTATGCTTCCTTCCCTCAGTATTTTGAGATTTGCCCATGTTCATTATCAGTAATTCATTCCTTTCTATTACTGAGTAGTATCCCCTATGCATGGATATACCACACTTTGTTTATCCATTTACCAAGTGATGAACACCTGGGCTGTTTTCAGATTTTGACTATTGTGAATAAAGCTGCTATGAATATTTGTGTACAAAAAAAAAAACAAAAAAAACACAACCATTGTTCCTCCCAAATTGGGGGGTGGGGGGGTACATCTTATAATCTGAAAAATACAGTACTATTTCTTTTGTGGTAATAACATTTAAGGTATATTCCCTTAACAACTTATGTACATACAGGGTCCGGCAGAAGTAAGACCTGCTAGAGTGTGGTTAGTAGGGTAATACTATGGGAATAATAATTTATAGTTTTAATTTGAACATTTCACCTAAAATGTCATATGATGTGTTTGAATGGGATATTGTTCTGTTACAGAATTACATGTTTATGATTTTGTGATAAAAGCTTTTGCAATAAAAAGGGGGCTTTATTTGTGCTGGACCCTGTATAATACACTATTGTTAACTATAGTACCCATGCTGTACATTAGATCCCCAGAATGTACTCATCTTATAACTGGAAGTTTGGACCCTTTGGCCAATACCTCCCAATATTCCCTACCCACAGTCCCTGGCAAAAACCATTTTAGTTTTTATTTTCATGAGTTAGGTTTTTTAGATTACACATACAAAAACATATGGTATTTGTCTTTCTCTGTCTGGCTTAGTTCACTTAGCATCAAGCTCTCAAAGACATCCAAGTTGTCGCAAAAGGCAGAATTTCCTCCTTTTTCATGGCTGCATTATAGTCTTGGGTGTGTGTGTACACATCTTCTGTTGGGAACCACCCTGCCTCGTTTCAGAAGCTGTAGCCCCTCATGGCTAAGGCTGAGTGAGTGACCTTTGGACCATAAGCCACTAAGGAGACAAAGCTTATCTCCCTGGCAGGGTGCTGCCTCTGCTCCTTTTACTTCACCCTGCCTGGCCCCCAATGCTTGATCAGTTAGCCAATAACAGGTAAGATTCCTCAAAGGAGGGATGACCTAACACAGACACAGGCACAAGGGGGCCCCAGGGAAGAACTTGGGAGGCTATAGAAAAAGGGGGTGATGGACCCTTGCCCCTCGACTTTGACATAGCCTGAGTTCTCATTCTGTCTGCAAGTCTCCTAATCTCTTGACTGCCTTAGTTCCCCTGCCTGACTTAAGCCTGAAACAATGACTTAAGCCTGAAACAATGCTGGAGGTGGGTGCTGCCCTGTGCTGGAAAGGGCAGGTTCCCTAGGGTGATCAGGCTTAAGAAAAAATGCATAAAATTCTATGAAACCTACTTTGCTAATACCCTCAATTTAAATAATAAGGGACCAAGCAGGAAGTGAATTTGTTCCCTAAAGTTTTAGGGCCCTTTAACTATCTGACAATGACTGAGAATAAGCCCTAAGAGTTCTTTGAATGCTATCTATTGTTCAATCATTTCTGCCTGACAATGACTGATGAAGTTTATTCCTGTGCAAATTGAACGCAATAAAAGCTTGGCAAGGCAAGGGTGGGGCACTCTCCTCTTGAGAGGGTGGCCCAGGCGCTCTGAGGCTTTTTTTCCTCTTGAGAGAGAAGTCATGCGATCCCTTTTCCTCCACAGGACTCGGTCATCCATGTGAATTTGTCTTGTATCTCATCTACAACACCGCGGACCCCAGGAGCTGGGATCTATATCAATCTTCTTTATCCATTCATCCATCAGTGGATACCTAGGTTTTCCCATGCTTTGGCTATTGTGAATCATGCTGCAATGAACATGGGAGTGCCAATATCTCTTTGAGGGAGTGATTTCACTTCCGTCAGATATATATACTCAGCAATGACATTACTGAATCATATGGTTGTTTTATTTTTAATTTTTTAAGCACACCCCATACTGTTTTCCATAGTAGATGCACCAATGTATACTCCCACCACAGTGCACAGAGATTCCCTTCACTTCACAACCTCTACAGCACTTGTAATCTCTTGTCTTTTTGATATCAGCTATCCTAACAGGTATAAGGAGATACCTCATTGAGGTTTTGAATTGCATTTCCCTGATGATTAAAGATGTTGAACACCTTTTCATGTACCTTGCCTATTTGTCATCATCTTTGGAAAAATTCCTATTTAAGTCTTCTGCCCATTTAAAATTGTTTTGCTTTTTAAAATTTTTGCTATATTAATAATATTAATGAGTTTTGATATATTTTAGATATTAACTTCTTACTGATAGCTTGAAAATAAGTTGCTTTTCATTTTGTTGATTGCTTTTTTTGCTATAGGTAGAATTCGATGCAGTCCTATTTGTTGATTTTTGCATTGGTTGCATGAGCTTTTGGTTTCAGATCCAAAAAAGTTGTTATCAAGACTGATGTTGAATTAGTGGTTTGTGTTTCTTTGGATAAATCACCAGAAGTGGAATCATTGGGTCATAAAGCAGATCCATTTTTAATCTTTTGAGGAAACTCCATACTGTTTTCCATAGTGGCTGCACCAATCAGCATTCCCACCAACAGTACACTAAGGAGTTCCCTTTTCTCCATATTCTAGCCAACACTTGTCATTTGTAGATTTATTGATGATAATCATTCTAATATCTCATTGTGGTTTTAATTTGCATGTCTGTGGCATTTAGTGATGTTGAGTATCTTTCCATGTCTATTGACCTTCTGTATGTCCTCTCCAGGGAAGTGTCCATTCAGATCTTCTGCCCATTCTTATATTGGATTGTTTGGCTTTTTGCTGTTAAGTAGCATGACTTCTTTATAAATTTTAGATATTAAGCTCTTATTAGATTATCATTGATGAATATCTTCTCCCATTTAGTGGGTTGTACCTTCAGGTTTTTTTTATGGTTCCCTTTGCGGTGTAAAACCTTCTTAGTTTGATGCAATCCAATTTGTTTTCCTTTTGTTTCCCATGCCCAAGAAGATATATTCCTATGCTCATTTACAATGTTATTTACAATAATCAAGCTATAAAAGCAACCAAACTGCCTAGCAATAGACAAATGAATAAAAAGCTGTGGTAGATATATATATAATGGAATATTACCAGGTCATAAAAAAGAATGAAACCTTACCATTGCTATAGCATGGAAGGACCTAGAGGATATTATGCTCAGCAAAATAAGTCAGTCAGAAAAAAATAAATACCATATGATTTCACTTATATGTGGACTCTAAAGAACAAAATAAATGAATAAACAAAACTGAAACAGATTCACAAACTTCCAGGTCAAGATGGTAGCATAGGCAAACATGGCTCACCTCTTCACACTACCACATCAAAATTACAGCTAAAATATAGAACAATCATCACTCAGAACTGACAGAAATCAGGTTCAGTGGAAGTCTGACAACTATGGAATTAAAGAAACCATATCTATCCAGACTGGTAGGAGGGGCACAGACATGTTATGGGCTGGTCCCACACCCATGTGTGGTGAATAAAATTTCAGGAGGGATTTCTCAAGAGCAAGGAGTCCCAGCCCCACACCAGGCACCCTAGCCCAGAATTCCAATGCTAGGAAGATAAGTCCCCACTACTTCTGGCTGTGAAAGCCAGTAAGGATTGTATCAGTGGAAGAAACTTCTGGAGCCCCAAGCAGTTCTTCTTAAAGAACCCACACATGGACTCACCTACTCAGACTCACTCCCTCTGAACTCCAGCACAGGGGTAGCAGCCTGAAAGTCACCAGTGGTATACAGGGAGAAACTGAAGTGTCTGGTATCAAGGCAAGCAGAGGCCATCTCTCCCTATTCTAAATACTACTCCCACAGAGCCAGTAGGCTGGTGCCATATCTGAGACTCCAACAACCTGACTAACACTGTCTGACCGGCCTTGAGATCCCCAGAGGCTCAGCCCCACCAAACTTATGAGCCAACCCAAGCTGCTTTTCCATATGAATGGCTGGTTTTGGCTCAGG